GCAAATTACTGAGCTCCATAAATTACGTCCTGGCGGTAGTTACGCCCAAAAGTTGGAAGAAAATACCAGAGAGAGTTTGTACTTCATTAATAATTAAATATTCAATGAAAATACAATAATGGAGAATTTTTTTCTTACTTTAGATGGAATATAAACACAGATTAGTTCACATTTGTATTGAATACGCCATTTTTTTGTTATTTTTTCCTCCTTCCTGTCACCGGTGCAACCTTGAATGTCTTTAGTTGAACTAAAGTTTGCAGTGTGTTGTTTCCGTCCATCAGCCTTTCAGGGTGCGCGGGTGTGTCCTGACGCTGGTGGAGAGGATGGACGAAGAGTTCACCAAGATCATGCAGAACACCGACCCTCATTCACAAGGTACAGAACGGCAATATGATTTTTGCTGTGTCTGTAACTTTTCTTTGTAAATCCACAAAGAAAAGTTACAGAACCTGTTTCTCTTACTTTCTCTCTGCTTGTGCAGAGTACGTGGACAACCTGAAAGACGAAGGTCGGGTTTGCGGCATCATCGATCGGCTGCTGTCCTACTTGGAGAACAAAGGATCCACAGAGGAGATCTGCCGCGTCTACCTGCGGAGAATCATGCACACCTACTACAAGTTCGACTACAAAGCCCACCGCCGCAGCCTGGGCCTGCAGGGAGAAACCAAGGTGAGGCAAGGTCACAGTGTGTGGAGGGAAGAACTAAACTGTCCCAGGAAGCAAAACGTAATAACAGCAGAATCAATTTAGAAAAACCTTTCTTCTCCTTTGGCCTCTTTTTAAATTACAATTGTGTTTACAGACTTTAATATAAATTTTATTTGCAGTTTTGTTTATTTATTTGTTCCCAAAATCACTTTTGACAAAAAAAGAAGGAAAAAAGACCAACAAAATGGCCGTTATTTTATGAAAGTTACAATATTTAAAGTGTCTTCCATTGTTAAATGTTGATCTTTTAGAATTTGTATTGTCATTATATTTCATTTTGTTAGCAATAAAATGTCCCAGAAATTGCAGTAAATGATGATATTGTTCCATTTTTAAGTAATAAATTACTTTTACCTGTTATAGTGCATCTTATACTTTCTCTAATTGAATGATAATGTTTTCAGTTTTCAAGTAATATAATGATAGTGTTATATTAATCAAAGAGCACATTCTCAGATTTACATTTAAATTCTAATGAATGGAACTGGAAGACTTTTTAATTATCCAAAATAAATAAACAAAACAACAAATAAACTAAACTGAAGTTCTTCAAAAAATGTCTGGTTGAGACGAAGCTCCAGACTGAAGATTTTTATCATCCAGTTTTTGGTAGAAAGAGAAAAACAAGAAATCATTCAAATTAAATTGATTGAGTTTGTTTTAATTGATTCTGCGGTTCCCCCAGAGCAGAATGACGTTTTTTTTTTAATGATGTTTAGTCGGAGCAGGACCAGGAGGAGAGCGAAGGCGAGGACAGCGCCGTCATCATGGACCGCCTCTGCAAGTTCATCTACGCCAAGGACCGCACCGACCGCATCCGGACCTGCGCCATCCTGTGCCACATCTACCACCACGCCCTGCACTCGCGCTGGTACCAGGCCCGCGACCTGATGCTCATGAGCCACCTGCAGGACAACATCCAGCACGCCGACCCCCCGTCGGTGTTCCTCTCAAGACCACCGGAGACTCAGCCTGAGGAGACCGGGAGTAATCGGGTTTTTGTTCCGTTTTCCCCATGAAGATCCTGTACAACAGAACCATGGTCCAGCTGGGCATCTGCGCCTTCAGACAGGGGATGATTAAAGATGCCCACAATGCTCTGCTGGACATCCAGTCGTCGGGCCGAGCCAAGGAGCTGCTGGGGCAGGGGCTGCTGATGAGGAACATGCAGGAGAGGAACGCTGAGCAGGAGAAGATTGAGAAGAGAAGACAGGTAAGAGACGAGGAGAACGCGTTCACACCGGCGCCGTTCAGTCGCCTTTAATACAACTCCAATCCGGTTCCCTAGAAAGTTTGAATAATTAATCAAACTGTAAAAAAAAAGCTTTGGTCTTTCTACAAAGTCTAGTTCAGTTTGTGAACGCCAAACAAACCGGAGTCCGCTCCAAAAACATGACGTGGCTACAGCGCAGGGGATTCTGGGTAAATTCAACCAAAACAAAGCGCTAGAAGGAGAAATTACTTTTAGAAATCCTACAACTGCAGAAATCTGATGCCACTTCATTTTTGTTGACATTTTGTGAAGGAAGTTGCACTCGGTGTCATCTTCAGAGGTTTATGTGTCGTTTTCTTCAGTGGTTCATAATGCAGCGCTCCCACAGGCGAGGAGGGGAACAGGCCTTTCACAGATGTCACCTTTTGATTGCAGGTTCCTTTCCACATGCACATCAACCTGGAGCTGCTGGAGTGTGTGTACCTGGTGTCGGCCATGTTGCTGGAAATCCCCTACATGGCGGCTCACGAGTTCGACGCCCGCCGCAGGATGATCAGCAAGCAGTTCCACCACCAGCTCCGAGTGGGCGAGAGACAGCCGCTGCTGGGTACGAAACAATCCTCCCTCTGTCAGGGATTCATCTCACTCTGGAAGCAGAGACGATGAACTTTAACCTTTCGGACCCCCAGGACCTCCGGAAAGCATGAGGGAACATGTGGTGGCAGCCAGCAAGGCCATGAAGATGGGCGACTGGCGCACCTGCCACTCGTTCATCATCAACGAGAAGATGAACAGTAAAGTGTGGGACTTGTTTCCTGAGACGCAGCGAGTCCGAGAGATGCTCGTCAGGTAACTCCTCTCTCCTAATCCGTGGTTTCAGACAATAAAACAGTTTCTGAAAACATGCACAGTCTTTTTGATATGGGCAGATGCCCAGGGTGACATCAGAAAGGGGTGGCACAACCAGGATCTTTAAAATAAATTGTATTTGTTGTATCTAACCTACATGAGTTGTCCCATATACAAGTTTGCTACCATTTGTATGAATTTGTAGTGGGATAAGTTTCCCTTTGACCTGCAAATTAGATCATTTCTTGCATTTTAATTGGTTGAAGGGCTTTGCTAAGGACACCTGCAGGAGCAAGGATATTTGTATTTCAAGCTTACAAAGTCGGGCATATTGATAATTCATAGTGTGATTAATCTGATTAAATGTTTTTAATGAAACGACTGCTCCAATTTTGCACCTAATGTTCATAAAACCGTTTTGTAGGAAGATCCAGGAGGAATCCCTGAGGACGTATCTGTTCACCTACAGCAGCGTGTACGACTCCATCAGGTAAACACATCGTGTACAGATAAATCAACTTTATTGATTTATCAAATATGTTGTTTTGGATGGTTGACTTTTGGAAGATCTGGATTTTTTATTTCCCAACGTCTTGAGTTTTTTATAGCTCAGAGTGATGTCAGCGCGCTGAGAGCCGCCATTTTGTGACGATATTCTCTTAATTAAACTAAGATCATTGTATCCTGGTCCTAATAATCCGTCATGTGACTCAAAGATTGAAATCCAAAAATATTTTCTTTAAAAAAAAATTCTAGAAAGAAAAACAAGAAAAGAAATTGCTTAAAGTTGGATTTGATATGAAATCCAAGGTATTTTTATTCATTTATTTGAAAGGATCTCAGAAAACAGAAGAACTATTCTGTGTTTCGTCTGTGAAAGCAATCTGATTAATTTACAAACTGACATCTAGATTATATTAGAAGACATTTAGATTAGCAAAAAATAATATATTAAATGTTTTATGTTCATTGTTTGTTTCTGTGATCTGCAGCATGGAGACTCTGTCTGAGATGTTTGAACTGGATATCCCAACAGTCCACAGTATTATCAGCAAAATGATCATTAATGAGGAACTGATGGTTCGTTTTAATCTTCCTATAAGCATAAAAAAAATCTTAGTATTGAGCCAATGAATTCGAATGTTAATTGCTGAAGGCGTTAAGAGGTTTTTGCACGGATCTCCACAGGCGTCGCTGGACCAGCCCACGCAGACGGTGGTGATGCACCGCACAGAGCCCACCTCCCTGCAGAACATGGCTCTGCAGCTGGCAGAGAAACTGGGCAGCCTGGTGGAGAACAACGAGCGAATTTTCGACCTGAAGCAGGGCGTCTACGGAGGATACTTCAACAGAGGTGACCCGGATTTAATCCTGTTGTTTTTAATAAAATGGGACAAATTCTGATCTGAGCTGATATGGAAGAATCGCCTTAGATTGAGAAAGATCTGGAAAAACCAGATGATGTTTGAACTCCCAGATGGAAGTTAACTTTAAAGGAGTTTTTAGTGTACGTATTTAAGAGTTAGTTTCCTGTGTAAGGAAATCTATTTTAATTTGTAACGTTGGTTCAGGGCAGGGATGCCAAAACGTTTTGCAAAGGGGATCAAAGTAAACAAGGGCTATTAAAATATAATTTGTTGTCTTAATGAACAATCTAAACCTCAAATTTTCAAATTCAGATTTATTTGTAAAGTTACAACATGATGTAATGTTAATGTACCCAAATTAACTGAAAAAACTAATTTTAATCTGTTTTCTCCTTTTTCAGTTGTTAAAATCAACCTAAAATTGAATCAAATTAAAATCACACAATTTTTACAAAATCACAATAAAATTGAAAGAAGCAAATCAAAACTATTCTATTATCAAAACAAAGTGCAGAATATTTGAATGAAACATACCAGTCTGATTTCTATACAGATATCATCAGCAAGTACTTCTGAAAAAATTAATATCTTTGTTTTGTTTTTTCAGATCAGAAAGGTGGATATCAGCAGAAGCAGTCATACCAGAGAGGTATATATATATTAAGTTGCTCCTCCTTGCATATATTTTGAATATGGTTTTCTGATTATAATTTTTAAATTTTGACCTTTTAACAGATCAGAAAGGCGGCTACCAGCAGAAGCAGGGCGGCTACCAGCGAGGAGGCTACAGGAATCAAAACCAGAGCAACTACTGAACTTAGAAATTGTGCTGGGATTTTTTTTTTGTCACTTTTTCCACATGGAGTTGTTTTCATTCCACAACAACCGCCAATGGAAAAGTGCTTTCAGTTTCTCCTGAATCTGCTGAAACATTTACAGCTCTGAAATGTTTCAGCATCGCCACCGTTCAGCACCGAACCATGAAGATTTTCTCCTCTAGCAAAGCAGCGTGGTCAGTTAGAAAATGTTAACTATTATTTACTAAACCGTAATAAAGAAAAAAACAATAAACACAGTCTTGTTTGTTTATTCAGAAAAACAAAGCAAAAAACTGGGTTTTAAATTTCTTGAACCAAACCAACTTATAGCTAAAACATGGATCTGCACAGCTAAATATAATAATTTACAGTTTGAGGTTAACATTTGTGTCTAATTATAAACCAACACAGAGTGAGCCTAATAGAATAATTGAAAATATGACAGCTCAATTGCCTACAATGTTTTAAAAAATAGGACTTTTGCTATTAGGCTAACAAAATTATAAATACACTGCCAGTCATTCTGTAATCTGGGCCAAACTGTGGTTCTCCAGATTCCACAGGGCCACAGAAAATATTTTTAAAAATTGCTGTGTGCTTATATATTATTTTATCACTCAAATTAAGTCAGTTCTTGTTTGTATAAATTACTTGGGTGCTAAATATAATTTTAAAATGCACCCAGTGAGTGCAGAGAACAGTACTTTGAAATGTATTGATAAAACTGGTAATTTTATTAATAATTTTTGTCACAACTGGCCCTGTGGTTCATGATTTATGGCCAAAATAAAAATGAGTTTGACGCCCCTGGGAAGGCGAACAAATGTTTCAATTCCTCAGATTCTACCTGAAGCTTATATTGCCTATTTGTATGGTAATAGTTTCAAAGTGATTGGAGCAAAAAAATGCATTTTAATAAGAATTAAAACTACACTAAGCAAAGCACAAACATTGAGGGAAATAAGCCGGAAGTTTCTTAAAGTTTCAAATGATTGTTGTTTTCCTTATTGGAATGGATTATTAGCAGCAGTTTACACCAGTTAAGTCCTCCTGGTTTGTCCTGTTTTCAGATTCTGTTGGTTTTCTGTCATTAGCTGCCACCCCTCATGCTCCGCCTCATCCTGTGTCTGAGCTCCTGCCTGAGCAGGTCTCTTTCTTTGCGAATGCCCTGCAGTACGGTGCGGTTCTCCTGGGCCCGGCGCACCAGATAGGGCAGCGTGTCTTCCACTGAGCCGTACGGCACCGACTTGTAGACAGAGTAACCTTCCTTTGCTGGCCAAAAGAAAAACAACAGTCAAAGTCAGTGATGCTCTTCTGAACAGCATGAAGGAAATGAGAGTTCATCTCACCCAGCGTCAGGGAGACGTGATCACACATCCCCAGTAGCTGGCCGAAACACACTGAGCCTCCATCTTTTTCTATCCCCAACTCCTCCATCCTACAGTAAAAATACCCAATGTTCATTTTAAACACTCAAACTTTAAATATTCTTGTCCTGTGCAGTCATGAGAAAAGATCAGGATTCTCCACCACAGCCTGGGAGTTATTCTAGCATATTCGAACCTATGAATGTTTAAAGATCTTATGCTTCCTTGAACAGGTTAAGGTAGGTTTATGCTCAAAAGAAAACATGCTAATTTTTTTTTGCACATAATTATTGGATTAGATTTTAGTCTGCTTAGTTCTGCCTATTTTGAGCTCCTTTCAGAAAGAGCTGCTGCTGGAGACGCCCCCCAAATCAACACTTACACTCTCACATGCTGCACACAGATGCACAATTATACAACCATGCATCTTTGAAAAGCAGAAGCGGAGCATCCAGTACAATCAGTAAGAATTCAGCCAACAACTAAACACTTGTTTTTTCTAGAAGCCATTGTACAGCGCATACAGCAATAAAACCAGCTGACCAAACATGCTGGACCTCAGCTTGGGTTGCTGGTGACAGCACAATGCTCGTCGATTGTAACTTTTTTATACACCAAAAACGTTTGAATAGTGTTTTTTTAAGTGGTTGGGTTGTTTTTTAGAAGCAGTTGAGACCTAAATGTAAGTACACAAATGTCCAAAATTTGCATATTAGATCCCCTTTAACATATCTTGTCTTCATCATGATGTTCGATTAAATATCGATATATTCCTTTTAAGTTCATCATTTGACTCTTAAGTTTTTTAAAGCTTTTATGTGTTTCAGCTAGTTTAAAACTCAGTAAGCTTTCAAAAACTAATACATTTTGTTTTCTAAACAGAAGAGTGACCCTTCATTCTCTCTTTCTTTAAATCCTTAATTCATTTTCCTTTAAATAACCCTGTAAAGTATTTTTTACGTCCTTACCTTGCAGCAGCTCGTCTCACAGACTCCTCATTGTGAGTGGCCACGATGATCCTGTAGCGGTCCGGTTTCTGTGCTATGGCTTCCATCATCACGTCCAGGCAGCTGTTATAACTGTTGTCACAAGAAGTCATAACATTTTACGGTTTTATTTCTCTCTCTGCTGCGAAAACCTTTTAACTAATGAAGAATTTGAAATTGATCACTCTTTTGTCATAGCAAATTCAGCTGAGACAAGTTTTAGATTTCGCAACAGCTGAACTCTGACAGAGGACTAAAAAATAAATCACAATAATTATAACTGCATACGTTGATCGTTTAAATACGAACTGCAACCGTAATACGCATTAAGACAAACAGTAAAACAAGTTTTAATAAGAGGCTTTGGACAAGAATGGCTCTTTGGGTTATGAGGACAGAAAGTTCGTTCAAAAGAAAAAAATGTTTGCATTCAACTGAAATAAAGTTTTGGAACTGAAAAACATATGAACCAAATAAAAAATTGTACCTGAAAAGTTTTCACATCTTTTTATGTTTCCTTTTTCAATTTAAAACCTTTTTTTAAGTTTCAAAATATTTTTTCAGTTTCAGTTTTTATTTTATTTAAACAAACATTATGCCCTCATTGTTGCTCCATAGCACACCCTGGGTTTATATGTTAGCTTCCCATTTTATTTTAAATACTTTGGTCTTTTCTGAACTTTCCCTGAATAATTTTAGGTCATATTCCAAAGAAAGATCCATTGTATTATTAAAAACTATGAAGGAAATGTAGATTTGGACTCATTATTTTGTGCATTAAAGCGAGTTTGGTTCAATCTATTGGTTAAATGTTTTACAGGTAATTAATCCATGGCACAAATGTTTCTTCCAGGCTGTCCTTTTGGGTTGACATTTTGAAACTGAGATGGCGATTATAATTAAAGTGCATCTTTAGATTTTCATTATTTGCTGTGCATCCAACCTCTTGTTGGTCTCTTCCCAGCTCGGGTGAATGGGGTCCACCCGGCACTCCTTCTCTGCCAGCTTTCGCTCTTTGTCCATGTATGCACCTCGTACCAGTTTGACTCCCAAACAGAAACCTTCAGCCTGCGACAGATGGAGAGCCTCCAACAGCAGAGACCTGGAGTCCTGGTTGACAGACGGGACACTTGTCACATACCATCAGTGAATGTAAACAATAGAAATGTTCGTAGAAGTTACTGAACCGTCGATTTTGACAACTGCCTTTAGATAACACTGATAGGTGTTCCAGATCCAGGCGCCATCTTTGTTAAACTTCTTCATCAGTGCCATGGTGAGCAGAGTGAGAGCAGGGTTCATGTAGGTGTACTCTGCATCAACCAGCACTCTGACTTTGTTAACACTCGCCTAAAACAAATGACCAACATTTAACAATGATCTTTATTATTACAGCAACATCACAAAAATAAATCTTAAATATGGAATGCCATTTAAATATTTTTTTATTACTGTGAACAGTAGGAATATGGATGTGGGTGAATCCTAAAATAAGTCACTGTAGACAGGAAAACAGATACATTACAATACAGCAATGGCAACAATACATGTGTGCCAAATTGCCCATAAAACTACTTCTGACTGCAACTGCATTGTGAAATTGCAGCCATTAGAAATATATAAGTCTGGAAAGATTTACCTCTGCTATTTTGTTCAGTCTTTGCAGACCACACAAGAAGTGAGCTGCTTCTTTTTCCTCCAATCCAGGAAACGTTATCATCTAAAAGAACAGTATAAGTTATTTAAAATGCAAGTTATACTGTGGATGAAATTAGAAAAATACACTATCATCTACAGTACTCAGTGGACTGCTGGCTTACTTCTCCATCCATGGCTCGGACAAGGAGGCTCAGGTCGTATGATTGTTGTGCAATTAGGGTTGTGAGTTTGACCTTTGACATAAACAGTTTATTCTCAGTAGAAAGAGGTGAAGGATGTTCAGTAATAGATCAAAGGGGCAGAGAGACAGACTGATGGAAACGGAGGGCAACGATGCTGAGGCAATTAGCGTTGAGTCAGCAGAAACCATTAAGAGCAGTTGTTGACAACGCAAACACTTAACATGTGTTCTTATCTATTTTTCCTCATACGTGTAGGAATTCAAGGCTGCCAGTGTGTTGGCGGTAAGCCTAAAAAAAAAAATAAAATAAAGGAAAAATAAATGTTTTATCTTTTTGTGGAGGAAGGATCCTTACACACAGCTCCGGGCTGAGCAGAGCCGTGATCTTCAACTGCATCATCGGATCTGTGCTCCAGGCGTTGCTGTGGGACATCCGGACACATTCCAACATGGCCGCCATGTTGTCGTCATATCTCTTTTCTCTAGTGGGGGATAAAGCTTACTTAGAACTATGACATTCAACACACATCCAAATATTAAAGATAATGTCGAATTATTCATGTGTGTGTGTGTGTGTGTGTGTGTGTGTGTGTGTGTGTGTGTGTGTGTGTGTGTGTGTGTGTGTGTATGTGTATGTGTGTACTTGTCTTTAGTACCTGTCTTTAGTACCTGTTAAGAACCTTTTCTGGTACATTCACCCAGCCTCTGAAGACCATTGGCCGTAAGAGGACCAAAGTCTTTTTTAATGTTGTGGGTCAAGCTTAAAGGTTTCTGGTGTGAATTAAATTTTGGTTAAGCTTACATTTAAAAATATAGTGGGAATGGTTCGGGTTAGACATTAATGCAGTGACTAAAACAAATCTAAGTCAAAACCAAGTCTTAATATTTTCTTTTTATTCTGAAATTATTTATAGGTTTGCATATTTGCATGTACATATTTGTTTTTATTTTATTTCATTTATTAATTTTATAGCTAAATTACATGTAAGTTCACAGTTATAACTGTATTTATGTTACATATGATTATATTTGTATTTGCTAATATGCAACATTTTTTGATGGAGTAGCTTGTCGACAGATAAACAGTTTTCCCTCAGGGATAAATTCTGATTCTCTAATATGAGTAGAAATACAAAGTGAGAGATTAAATATGATTTACTACAGCAGAATTTCACTAAATTTATTTTTTAATGAAAAACTGTGCTTTGTGTCTATTTTAGGTTGACTAGATGCTGGAAGAGCAACAAAAATTGAGCTGACCAGCTGGCATTAGTAAAAATTATAGAGGGCAACATTTTTTTTCAGTGAGCTATTGGTGAGTGTAACATTAAAAATTGTATTTTCAGCTGTTGAAGACCAAGTTACGTGTGTATTTATTGCAGCCTTTCATGCTGTATTCATCAAAGCCTCAACTAAGGTTTTTAATACATTGATAAATAATTTAAATGTCTTTTACCGAGATTTTGTGTGATTCACCAAACCAAACTAAAATGTTTTTCAAAGTGGAAGGAAATGTATGTTTTCTCTAAGGAAAACATCTGATCTTAATGCAACACACTACCTCCATTGATAAAATATGATAGTGGGAATGCCATGCTTTGTGTTAGTAAATGCTTCAAAGTAGAAAAAAAATGTCTTATCTTTCCATATTACAATAACGCCCCAATTTATTTTGGTTTACATAATAAATTTGTGAAATATATTGAACTGTGTGATGTAATGTGACAAAATATGAAAAAGCTTCGAGGGTATGAATAATTTCTACAAAACTACGCAGGAATTAAAGGTCTACCCAATGCTCTCTCCGAGGTCTTCCTCAATCGGAACCGCCAACATGGGCCTCAGTCCCAGCAAGCTCATCTTTCGCATGGACTGAGAGATCTCTGTCTCATTTTCTCCGGCCACAAACTGTGCGTAGACGGTGGGCCGCAGCAGCAAAGAGAACCCTCTCCTCCCCAAGATGGTGCGTGCTGCTATCATCAGCTAAAAAAGATATAAATTATAACTGAATCAGGTTATTTTTATCCAACTAACTAAATATTTCTTTCATGTACCTTAAAATGTTATAATTTAGTAGCATTCATTATTAATTTCAAACCATAGTGGCTTGAAATTAAAAATCAATGAGGGAATAGTTTGTTGAAAAAACTAAATATCAGGATGAAACATTTGCACTTCAGTTGGAGGGATTCAGAAGCGAAATAATTGTTGTGAGGAGATACAACTGCGTTTTTCACTCTTCTAATAAAAAAATCATAATCATATGCTACAAATACATTAAGGTTTGATTATGATTGTTTATTTTCTTCTATGAGTTTTTCTACACTCAGTTGCAATTTCTTGGAGATATGTTTTAGAAAAACATGGAGGAAAGATGCTGTTTTGATTTTGATAATGCTGTATACATATAAAAAGTGAAGGTATAAGCTTTTGCTTAATTTTTTCAGGCTACACTTTGTGCTTTTGGCATTGACAGGAAATTTGTTTATTTATTTTTTTGTCTAGATTTTTTTCCTTTCTTTTGATTTTTTTATTTTGTTTTGTTTACTTGTGAAAATAATCATAATATTACAAAGACAAATTTGTAGGAGAATAAAGTCATGATAACATGAAAGTCATACTACAACTTTAGTCCCTATAACTTTATTGCCATAATTTTATTGATTTATTTATGAACGTATTTATTTATTTTCTTAGTACAATCCTAATACTGTGTCGTAGCTAAAAAGCAACCAAGTTACAAAAAACAAACTGTAAGAAAATCTAAAAAGAAGTGGGTTTATTAAGTGCCAAGGACAAGAAAGACAGGAAAGACTTCATAAAGCTTCAATCTCACCTTACCGCAGTTGTTGACCAGCACAGGGAAGGAACACATGCGGAAGACACCAAGAGCTCGGAGAAGTTCGCCCAGACTCTTCACTCTGAAGGCACTTGGATCCTCAAAGGCCAGGCTGACAGACAAAATCTCTGGTCGCTTCACAGCCACCATCCTGGAGGTGGTGGTACCAATGAGTCTCCGCGACAAGAGGCGAGGGAGGGCAGGGCAAAGGTTAGAGCACAGCATCGTCCCAGGAGAAGGTGTATTCATGTGTAGCTAGAAACCAGGTTATAGAAATATTTAATGTGTTTAGGGTTTGTAAATATATGTTACAGTGGAGAATATTCAATTTTAGACAGTTGTTTTTCTTTCCTGGTAAAAATCCTACAGGAGGAAGAAAAACACCTGCAAAAAACACAAAAGTTTTGAAATTTTACAAAACCAACGTTGGTATCCATTGACAAGCTCTATAGAAGCATAAAGGTAAGACAGCACACTACAAAACATAAAATCTTACCAGGTATTTTTGTCTAGTTTCAAGCAATTGATGAGAAAACTATCTTCTCAGTAATTCTTCAGCAAGATACTGGAGCTCATTATAAGAAATATTGACTTCAAGCAAGCTCCAGTATCTTGATAAAAAGTTATTTGTAAGTTAATTTTGTCTTATTTCAAGTGCATAAAGATATTTGCACTAGAAACTAAAAAAATAACTTTGTAAGAGTTTGTGTTTTACAGTGTGTCTATTTATTCAGCTCTCATCTAATTTTGTGAGACATATACTATAGTTTTGTTTAGTATTTTTCCGTCTATGAGTAATTTTTGGTAGGATTACTAAATACAACATCTTACCAAGTATATTTATCTAGTTTCTTGTGACTCTGACTCAAGTATTTATTAGGTACAAAAACCATCTCAAAAACTATTTTTTACAGCAGAATCAAATCTAATTCAAGAAAATTTTAAACTGAAGCAGAAAAGAAGAGAAAGTCTTACCATCTGTCCCATAAATGCCATTCAGATCACCTCAGTGATTAAAGCCGGTAGCTGCACTTTGAGGGTACGAGCGCAGGACTTTTGGGTTAATCAATGACTTTTGGGACATTTGAGTAAACATTTGGCATTGCCTCACAAAGCTTCACTTGGTTTGCAATCCACTGGACATAAATATAAAGCATTTTATGATATATATTTATCTACGCCGAGAGGTTTTGACATATTTGTGAAATATAAATGCATAACTGCATATTGCTATACTTTAAGAACTTTTCTAAATGTGTTTTATCCTTTTACATTTTGAACCAACAAATAATTCTGAAATTATTTTTTATTACATTGTTTTTCCCTATATTTGGAACATAGTTGCTCCCTTAATATTTTATTGTAAATTTAATTATAATCAAAAATATATATTTGGCACATATTGGAAACATCATACAATTAAACAATATTTATCACTTTTCAAAGCACCGCTTTTTGAAAGTGGCACAGAAGAAGGGAGAGGTTCATGTTGTTGGAGGCCGCACTGGGTGACATTCATGTCAGAATCGCCCCTGTTTAAAAACTATCGTAAACAGTTTTCTTTTGCATCTAGCAGTATGTAAAAATTGTTAAGTCCATACTTCATTGAAGAAGTTTATGTCTCAGAAATATTTGCTCAAATGTGACAAGTTTTTCTGTAAAAATTTAAATAGTCTTACAAATAAATATAAGGAAAGTTTCCATTTTATCACTGATGTGTTGGAGGTAAAATATGGTTTCTTCTAAAAGTATTTAGTACTTTTTGAAATTTAAGCAAAACTAGAATAGGTTAGATCATTCAAGGACTGTTGGATACAGCATGTACAGTGTAGCCGGACCATTCTGGTTTGTTTCTGCTTCTCTTTGTTTGTTTTTCACTTCAGAGGTTTGCAGCTGCAGGACTGGTTGGGTTGTTGTTCAACAAGATGCGTCAATGTGCAGCCAGGTGGTTTCTATGTGACGTTTTCCCACCTGGCTTCCAAATCTTATGTTATTAATAAAATTTTGACACAAAAATATACTTGTTAGTTTCTTAAGTTTTTTTTTCTTTGCACAATTAATTTAGACTTACAGAAAAATAGCAAAAAATTACTTATGTACAATTTAAGATATCAGAAAAGACAAAAAACAAAACAATTTAAATAAAAATATTTATTTCAAACCAAGGGGAAAAAATACAACATATGAAGTTCAAGTTTAACAACTTAAAAAATAGAAATAACTTGTTGAGCAAAGATAAAAGAAACAGCATTTTTTTTATATATGGAATTAAAATGTTTTAAAATCAGAATTAAATTTAAGTTGAGTTTTGGTCAGAATAACTTGCTCAGATTGTCTCACTTTGCCAAAAATTTGCTTGAAAAAATGTCATCACTGAGACATAGAAAAATTTATTACATAGAAAAATCTATCTAAATTTGACTTCAGCAACATTGAAATACATTAAAAACCTTTGTTCTCAGTAAAAACAGTGTTTAAACATGCCTTCTAAAATGATGCCTTTACTGTTTATGGGCATGCATATTTGCTACAAACATTTACCTGAAATTTAAGAAGTCATAATAAATAAAACATTTTCTGATGTAAGAATGGCCTGACTTGACAACTCAAGTCATTTTGTTTTTAATTTGACTTTTTTTTTCTCTTGATTTTAATATATTCTACTAGTAAAAATGCAACTCTTCTAATATTATAACTATATGTTGTAATTAAACACAGTTTTGCAGCCTTGCTCTAAATTTCCATTGTACAAATCACAAGAGGAAATTTGAAATAAAATCCACTTTTTGAAAATATTTTCTGTTTGTAATTTTTATTTTTTTTTTTTTTACAAAAGGAAGCAAGAAAAAAATAACCAGTTAAAATCGGATCTTGTATGAAATAAGTCTGAGATTTAAATTTTAAGCCATGTCGCCAAGTTATGTTCTCCTTTTTTCTGTCTACAATGGCTCTAAAATATTGTCATGCCAAGCTGTACTTCAAAGTATATGCAAATCATCATTATTATCACCAATATCAATCAGCTGAACAGTTTGGCAAAGTTTACGACTGCTTCTAGTCTATATATTGCTAAATTCCCTTAAAGCGCCTTGAAACCAAACACTAATTTAAAACACTGTTCTTGTGCTGATGTAGGACCCCTGGGAGCGAGGGTGGCTCTGCTGGTGCTGTCTGTAAAGATGCCTGAATGGTGCAGGGAGAGCGGAATGGGGGTCCTGATGCAGGCGGAGAGGATATGATGGGAAGGCGGGGTAAAGAGCTGGCGCAGGCGTGGAGGCCGGCTGAGGAATAAAAGCATGGCGGTGCAGTACCACCTCCGGGGGATAGGGGGCAGTCGCGAACTGAGCTTGGTGAGTCAAGTTGGGGAAATTCAAAGCAGAGCTCGGAGTTACGTTTGGAAATGAGAGCGTTTGAATTTGTTGGGGAAGAGACGGCAACGCAAAAGTGTTGCAGGAACCATTAGCAGGTAAAGTAGCTAAAGAATATTCAGGTTCTGCATTCATAGGGAGGATATTTGGATAAGTAAAAGCCGCAGAAGTGTGAGCTAGACGTCCATTACTTGCAGTAGCATCCGGTTCCCCCTGCTGCACCTGGGAGGGAGGAGATGTTTGTGGATTTGACGCACAGGTGAAATCAGCGGGAGTGTGGGGGGTGATTGCTTCCGGGATGAAGGCGATGTTGGCGGGGGAGGAAGAGGAGTCTGAAGGTGGAGGTGTGGGGAAACTGAAGGAGCTGGAGGGGTAATCCACAGGAGGGAAGGATGGAGGAGCAGAGAAGCCAGGGTCAAAGTTCGCTTCAGCCATGGCTTCTGAGCTGTGAAGGAGAAAATAAACAATTGATGCACTGTTTACATCTTTCTATGATGGTATTTCAGGGCCACACAGAAAAGGAGCAAATTTCCACCAAAAAACTGAAATTTTCTACAAAAAATTAGAAATTTTCTGAGTTTCAATAGAATCTACACCTTTTAAAATTCAGACATAGATATGTTTTTTCTATATATTTCTGAATCTCAGCAATTTACAAGTTTTCTAGAAAAGTTTTGGGAGTTTTTCTAGCAAATCAACTCAGAAATTTTATTTTTCTCTGGAAGATTTTAGAAGGTTTTTTGTGTGTGTGTGAAAATGTACTCCTTTTTTGTCTACAATGGCTCTAATTCGCCATCGTATCTTTCCCTATCCATTTCATAAGAGTTATTAACTCAAAGAAAATTGTTGCTTCTTCTCTCCTCCTTCTCTTAAGTTTTAAATTGTAAACGGGGCCTATTTTGTGTGATTTTATTCTTTCATTTGGGTCTCCACAGCTTCTTGTTAGGTTGCTTGGTAAAATGTGACTCAACATTTAGAAACGATTCATTTACCAGACATCAAAAACATTAACTTATTGTCAAAAAACTGCTGATTGTTTTTTTTTCACTTCTTTTTTTAAGCTGTTCTTAGAAGTAGTAGAAACCCAAACGGAAACATATTGTTCCAAAGATAACCAGCCTATTTCCTCACCTTTCAATCATATTGTGTGCTGCTTCGTTTTCCTGCGTTTCCTGCATCGTGACGCTGATATCTGACATCTGGGAGGTCATGAAGGTCTGGGTGAGGTCCAGTGCGGGCTCTGGGACGGGATAGGATCCTTCCTCGGGTCTGAACCCGCAGGAAGAGTCGGGCAGCGGAGGGAGCGAGGCGAGCGCCAGAACCTGCAGGTCCGAGCTGGAGGCTGCGGGCTCAGCGGCTTCACAGGGATCGCAGTTCACTTCACGGAAAACAGGAGTCAAAATAGAATCATCCATGTTTATTTCACACCAAAAACTGAATTAAAATGATAGTTCCTGTCATCTCTCTCACCAATATCCAGAGTCTCTGTTAGAGTGACCATCTTGCGTTTCTGTCTTGCGTCTCTTTGCCTGCAGAAGAAGGAAAAAAAGTGAAGTTTTGATCATTTACAATCAGGTTTTAAATTTTTAGGGGAATTTAGTGGTCGGTTACTTTTTGCTGTTCATGCCATCCTCTCGAAAGCCTTTAGCAAAAGGGTTGGAGTTGATCTTCAGCTCTGTGATCTGGAAAAAAATATTATTTTGACTCCTTTCCACAGATACTCTGAAGCTCCTTGCAAAAGTATTAATCATTTTTTACATTTTGTCAAAATAAAATTACAAAGTTTGATGGATTTCACTGGGATTTCTGTGACTGGCCAACAAAATGCATCAGTATCTGCTTTTACATTGACAATTAATCACACAATTAGACATTTCAAAAATAAATTTGCTTAATGGAAACAATTTAAAAAAATTTTTTTTTGATAAGTTTTTGCTGCTAAGATGAGATGATTTGCTTTGAACATATCAAAATTGGTTTATTTTGTTAACCTGAATGGAAGCAAGTGTTTTTGCATCACAAGAGTCACATGATCAACAACTGGATGTTGCCACTGGTGGAAACCAAGAAGAAGAAGACAGGAAGTTGCAGGAGGATTTTGGCGCTGCATATTTTTAATGACTCATCTTGTATACAAACTAACTCACATGTGATTTTAGTTTAATTTATTTGTTGGAAATGCCAAAATTGGGAAATTGTGTTTTTTCTACAGCAAATACAATAATAGGATTTCAAACTTTTTGCAATAGAAAATATGACAAGTGTTGAATGCATTTGTTTTCATGCTTGTACTCCAACACCAAGTTTAATTAAAAAGAAAAAAAAAAGCCGCACCTTGCTGTTCTGGTAAGCTGTGACTGTGATGAACTGGGTCTCGGGGAAAACGAAGGTGTGCTGTCCTCCACCCCACCGCAACATGTCTCTGGCTTCCATCACATGGACTCTGGGCTGGTAGCGATGCAGCGAGTGCAGGATTATCTTGAAGCAAAACCAAAACAAGATTCGCTAAAAACATCACAATCTATGTTGCCACGACGTGTTGTAGACAGAACAAGTTAGCAAATTTCTACCAAAAGACAAAAAATTTTGAGATTTAAAATTTTGTAGAAAAAACAAGAGCATTTCTGCATTTGAAATGTTGAGAATTTGCATTAAAAGAACAAAATGAGATCAAGAAA